TCCACGCATGCTATATATTTTGTCTTTATCAATTTGTCTTTGTCTTTGTCAATAACCACCCTGTCAATTCCTCTGAGAATTTTGTAGGTGGTTATCATGCCTCCCTTTACTCTTCTCTCCTTCAGGACCGTGAGGTTTAGCTCCCGTAGCCTTTCCTCGTAGCTCACACCTCTCAGTTCCGGGACTAGTCTGGCGGCATACCTCTGAATATTTTCTAACTTTGTCTTGTGTTAAACTAGGTATGGACTCCAGGCTGGAGCTGCATACTCCAGGATTGTTCAGATATGAGTGGGATACAAGATTCTGAATGATTCCTTACACAAATATCTAAAGGCAGTTCTTATGTTGGCCAATTTAGCATATGCCGCTGATGATATCCTTTTGATGTGGGCTTCTGGGGACAAGTTCGGTGTGATATCAAACCCAAGATCTTTCTCTCTATTTCACTCTTTCTGGATATCACCTCCCAGATGGTACCTTGTGTTCAGCCTCCTGCTCCCTTCGCCTAATTTCATTACATCACACTTTCCCGAGTTAAACTTTAGTAGTCATTTTCTTGACCATTCCTCCAGTTTATCCAGGTCATCCTGTAGTCTCTGTCTATCTTCATCTCTCTTGATTCTTCTCATAATTTTTGCATCATCATCAAACATTGGAGGAAACAGAGAGAGAGAGAGAGAGAGAGAGAGAGAGAGAGAGAGAGAGAGAGAGAGAGAGAGAGAGAGAGAGAGAGAGAGAGAGAGAGAGAGAGAGAGGTAGAGAGGAGAGAAGAGAGAGACGGAGAGAGAGAGGAGAGAGAAAGAGAGAGGAGGAGAGAGAGAGAGAGAGAGAGAGAGAGATAACAAATAATCAAGCGAATGGCTAACAGAACAACACAGCCATATGAGCATACTACCTCATGACAATTAAGCCATGAGGATACCTGACATAATTACAACATGCCGATATTATACGAGTATATAATTTAGCGAAGCATCCAGTTGGCTGTTTTTGTAATCACTAACTCAGAGTCCGTAATTAATTCCCTCTAAATTTGGCAGAGTGCCGGCGTGGGAAGCAGCCTTCCCAGGCGACCCGCTGCCTCCCCATGCACTCTCTGCAGCACTACACTCCACTGTGTCTCGTTTTGCCCAATTGAGAAATACTTAAATGCTGTTTTAGTACCTTATTGGCAACATAAGAGAGATAGAGAGAGAGTAGTAGCAACATATGAGGGTAGTGACAATATAAGAGAGAGAGAGAGAGAGAGAGAGAGAGAGAGAGAGAGAGAGAGAGAGAGAGAGAGAGAGAGAGAGAGAGAGAGAGAGAGAGAGAGAGAGAGAGAGAGTAGTGACTGACAATATATAAGAGAGAGAGAGAGAGTAGTGGCAACATATGAGGGTATTGGTAATATAAGAGAGAGAGAGCAGTGACACCATAACAGAGTATTGGCAACATAAGACCGTATTGAAGGCCTAAATTAAGCTTACAATAGGCCTAAAATACTGCCTCCGTGCAGAAAGCGTACAGACCCAAGCGGGACAAGTTCTGCTCACACTCCAGCCTGTTCTTGAAGCTGTAAAATGAGACGGTTGCGCCTATTTTATTTATATAACCAAACCAGTTCTTAAATTGTCTTCTGGATCAAAATTTATCTGGAAACGGAACTGGTACGAGTTGATTTAATTAGATATTCTCAACACTGTATTTCTATTACATTTCTTAATTTCTTGTATTACCTTGTATACTTCAGTCTTATACGGCAGAAGTACTGCGAATTATACAGTGTTGTATGAAACTAAGAAGAAGGTTGGAATCACAGCATCATTAATAAATATACTTTATGGTAAAGTAAAAACAAATTGTATATACACATACTACGTTTCCTAAATGTTGGTTTCAAGACAATTATGAGATAATCTTTAATTTTTTTGGTGTAATGATTGGTTAAATTATGGCTTGGTTTCTCATAGTTAGAGGAGAGGAAGCCTGCCCCTACTGACCTTCCCCAGGGTATTGCTGCCTGCTTGGGGAACACAGACACCAAGTTTAAGGAAACTAGCCCAACCGTTTCGAAACCAGGAACCTTGATTGTGAGTCGAGGGCGTAGCCTACTGTACCGCGGGACCCCTTAATAGCGTGATTTGAAGCTCGGTAAGGGTGTATTGTACACATACATGAACCTTGATTACCGGTGGTTTTCGCGAGGGAAAATAATTGACATAATCTCAGATTTTCATTCGTAACCATCTAGTGAGAAAATCAAGATATAAAGTTGGTAACTTTATCTGTGCCGCGCATCCCTCTCCCTGGCACTGCCAGGCACCCTGGACGGGCGGAGAAGGTGCCGTGAGGGCCACGAAGCAGGTGTGAGGGTCTTGAGAAAGAGTGGGGGGGGGAGGGGGAGTGGCTATTACAGTGACTCAGTGAGCAGTAGAGCGCCAGACGCCGCCCCGGTGTGACGTGTGTAGAGTGCAGCTCCCGACCCTCCCTCCCTGTGAGAGAGAGTGTGTGTGTGTGTGTGTGTGTGTGTGGAGCCTCACGCCAGCGTCGCCTCCGCCTCCACGACGCCCACACGCGACCGCAATACCTGGCCCTCCTGCACCACACGCGCCTCTACCACGGCATATACTGGAACACTACTGCAGGCGGCCCGTTCTCCAAGACACTGTGGATATACATCATGGTGTTTACTCTATGGCCATGACGATACATCTACCTTAAACCAATTTCTTTCGATGAAGGACCTTGTGCACTGATTTATTACAAAAAAGCTACAACACTCGCGTTTTGAACTGCCAGAGAAGATATAATGAACAATAATAATCATGACTAACAGACACTCGTTCCTCTGGTATATATCTAACAGTTACACTGGCATAATATAATATAGGAGCTCTCTAAGGGAAGCGCTGATCCTTGTTCAAAATATAATGAAGTTACAGAGAAGAAAATGGAGTTTGGGTGACCTGGTGTCTCCCGTGGGACTATGACTCTCGCCCCCTAATATATCAACACATCCTTAGGTGGATGACTTCAAACTCCCAGAGACGGACAAAAGCAACTTTCTGATTTAGTTTGTGTGTGAGAATGACATGTGAAGTGCCAACATGAAGTTCTTGTTCAGGAAGAAGTGCAAGCCTGGCAAGGGAGCCACGGAGAAGCCACCCTGGATCGCCATACAGGTAAGAGCTCGCTGGTCAGTTGTATACTGGCTTGGTACAGCGACAGCCTCACTTCTTTGCAGAGACGGCGTTCGATCCCCGATGGCTAAAATATTTGCGTCCAACCACTTGGGCAGGACGGCAGAGCGACGTTCTCGCTTCATGCATTGGCATTCATGGTTGGCGTTCAATTCACGACCGTCCAAGTAGTTGGGCACCATTGCTTCCCCCCCCCCGTCCCATCCCAAAGCCCTATCCTGACCCCTTGCAAGTGCTATATAGTCTTAATGGCTTGGCGCTTCCCCTGATAATTCCCTTCCCGTCTCTCCTCTTTCCCTAACTCTTAATTTCTAATCCTAGAAATATACATAATCCTAGAAAGTATAGTACTTTCTGATAATTACTGTATCTAAATGGCCAGGTGAATGGTGTTTCCCTCAGGTGATGTGCTACAGAGGAGCTGTTAGTGATACAATGTGGCCTAATGGCCAGGTGACTGTGCCCCTACTCTGGTGAGGTGCTGAAAAAGTCTTGGTAGTGATGCTTTATGAGGGACGTGCAGTGACCACAACCCAGTGGTCACATTATGCTGTGATCCGGTTACTGAGAGAGAGATGCAATAGATCAAGATGCAACATGATGTTATGATGATAAAGTTCAACAGCGAAGCCTTAATAGGGTTGCGTGATGTAGATTTTATTGTAATTCAGTGTCATCGACACAGCAGAAGCTCTTATTATTTTCTTCACGCTGTGGTTAATGCAGTCGCCTCGCAACACTTTTGACCCGAGTTCGATTCCTGGGCAGGGCGAGACGCGCGGGTACAATTCCTTAAGCCTGATACGAACATAAGAACATACGATTAAATGAGCATGCAGAAGGCCTATTAGTCTATACGACGCATTTCCTAGTTATATCCACCCAAACTTACCTATATATGTAAAAGAGAATGTGTTTGTTCGAGGTTGGAGACCAGATGCTTGGGGCTAGCCTCACCAAAGTTTGCAAGAAAGGAATGGTGCCCAACCACTTGGACGGTCGGGGATTGAACGCCGACCTTCATGAAGCGAGACCGTCGCCCTACCGTCCAGCCCAGAAGGTGGTGAAGGAGAGGGAAGGTGTGTACTGAAGATGGTTACAGTGGTGAAGATAGTGAGCAGTGAAGATGACTACAATGATGGAGAGACTATGTAGTGAAGATGTGACGTCCGTCATCTGAGCAGCGCCGGATATCCCCTCTACTTCATATAGATGTATAACCAACGCTTGAAACAATCCAGGGATCACATGTCCATTATGTTACCCGGTAAAATGTTTCATAAATGAACAACCCTGTTTCCAAAAAATTATTTACCCAGGTCTTTTCTGAAAGTAAATTTGTCAAATTCATATCCATTGTTTTATGTCTCTATTCAGCTAGCAGTAAATAGGTACCAGGAGTTAAGGAACTGTTGTGGGAAGCATCCTGGGAGAGGTTAGTGGTGGACGTAAGGGAACCTGGATAAGCCTAACAGGCTTTATGTCCCCGACAGTATATAAACCATTTATTTTCATGAAAGGTTTGAGACGTTATCACGCCGCGGTGAGCTGCACATTGTGGCATAGCTGCTAGGAGACGTTATCACGCCGCGGTGAGCTGCACATTGTGGCATAGCTGCTAGGAGAACGTTATCACGCCGCGGTGAGCTGCACATTGTGGCATAGCTGCTAGGAGACGTTATCACGCCGCGGTGAGCTGCACATTGTGGCATAGCTGCTAGGAGAACGTTATCACGCCGCGGTGAGCTGCACATTGTGACACAGCTGCTAGGAGAACGTTATCACGCCGCGGTGAGCTACACATTGTGACATAGCTGCTAGGAGAACGTTATCACGCCGCGGTGAGCTGCACTTTGTGGCATAGCTGCTAGGAGAACGTTATCACGCCGCGGTGAGCTGCACATTGTGGCATAGCTGCTAGGAGAACGTTATCACGCCGCGGTGAGCTGCACTTTGTGACACAGCTGCTAGGAGAACGAGCTGCCAGAATGACTCTCTAGCACATACGAGAGATCTGAGGACATGACGGAAGCTGGAATAGAATTGACGGAGGGACGGAACGCACTCTCCGAGTCTCCAAGACGCACACCTAGGCTAACAAACTCCCAAAGAAGCTGCGACTGCTGGCAGGAAGATCAATAAGACAAGCGACGCCATCTTAACTGCCAACGAAAGAGGTCGTCCAGGTGTCTTAAACCACTTGGCACTTGTGCAATAACTGGACCCGGGTTGTGTGAGGGGCGGCGCTGTGAGGGACGGCGCTGTGAGGGGCGAGCACTTCACTGAACAAGTGTACATCATGCAATGTTATAAGCTTGGCTCCCTCCGTGTCGCGTCCTCCCAGGCGCGAGAGTCGTCCTCCAGGCACGAGAGTCGTCCTCCAAGCACGAGAGTCGTCCTCCAAGCACGAGAGTCGTCCTCCAAGCACGAGAGTCGTCCTCCAGGCACGAGAGTCGTCCTCCAGGCACGAGAGTCGTCCTCCAGGCGCGAGAGTCGTCCTCCCAGGCACGAGAGTCGTCCTCGAGGCACGAGAGTCGTCCTCGAGGCACGAGAGTCGTCCTCCAGGCACGAGAGTCGTCCTCCAGGCACGAGAGTCGTCCTCCAGGCACGAGAGTCGTCCTCCAGGCACGAGAGTCGTCCTCCAGGCACGAGAGTCGTCCTCCAGGCACGAGAGTCGTCCTCCAGGCACGAGAGTCGTCCTCCAGGCACGAGAGTCGTCCTCCAGGCACGAGAGTCGTCCTCCCAGGCACGAGAGTCGTCCTCCAGGCACGAGAGTCGTCCTCCAGGCACGAGAGTCGTCCTCCCAGGCACGAGAGTCGTCCTCCAGGCACGAGAGTCGTCCTCGAGGCACGAGAGTCGTCCTCCAGGCACGAGAGTCGTCCTCCAGGCACGAGAGTCGTCCTCCAGGCACGAGAGTCGTCCTCCCAGGCACGAGAGTCGTCCTCCCAGGTACGAGAGTCGTCCTCCTAGGTACGAGAGTCGTCCTCCTAATAGAACGTCGCATTTTGACGTATGCTCCACCTAAGGCCACAAATGGTCGTACTATTAAATGGTAGCGGGTCGCAAAATTGACAAACTATCCCGTTTTCTGTGTTGGGGCCTCTGTTAGGTTAGGATAAGGGCACTTTAGTACGGCACTTTCTTGACGTTGGGGGAACCTTAGGTGTTGTTGTTGTTGTTGTTGTTAAAGATTCGCTACCTGGAACAAAAAAGTTCCAAGTAGCACGGGCTATGGTGAGCCCCGTACAACCTTAGGTGGGCGGGCAGGAGAGTCATGGGTGATACAGAATATTCTTCACTAGCTTGTCAGTGTTATGGAGGCCACTTCTTCCCTCCTTCTGTACTGGTGGCTGATATTACAGTGGGTGACGAGTGAGTGACGAGTGAGTGACCAGTGGGTGACGAGTGAGTGACCAGTGGGTGACGAGTGAGTGACCAGTGGGTGACGAGTGAGTGACCAGTGAGTGACCAGTGAGTGAAGAGTGAGTGACCAGTGGCTGAAGAGTGAGTGACCAGTGAGTGACCAGTGGGTGACCAGTGAGTGAAGAGTGAGTGAAGAGTGAGTGACCAGTGGCTGAAGAGTGAGTGACCAGTGGAGAGGGAGAGCGCCTCGTGGAGTGAACAAGAGTCCCACAAGGCAGTACACAACAGGAGATGATTCAACACAGAAACCATTGGTTTGATTCTTGTCAAAATACTGAGAAGAACTGGACAGGTCTTCCCCCAGTACTCCACGTATCTTCAGATGGCCGACATATAACGCTAATGGTATACCTTACCCCGAGGTCAGGTATACCATACCCCGAGGTCAGGTATACCTTACCCCGAGGTCAGGTATACCTTACCTAATATATATGTAAGCCTAACGTAAGCTCCAGTTCTAATTTTTTTTTATGGTGGATCAGATAATCAACAATACCACATTACTGTCCCCAGACAGCTCTGTCTAAGCCCTGTACTGCGTGACAGTGTAATATGCTCGCCTGTCCCAACACATACTTATGAAACCAGTCTCCGTGGTGTAGTGGTAAGACACTCGCCTGGCGTTCCGCGAGCGCTATGTCATGGGTTCGTATCCTGGCCGGGGAGGATTTACTGGGCGCAATTCCTTAACTGTAGCCTCTGTTTAACGCAACAGTAAAATGTGTACTTGGATGAAAAAACGATTCTTCGCGGCGGGGATCGTATTCCAGGGACCTGCCCGAAACGCTACGCGTACTAGTGGCTGTACAAGAATGTAACAACTCTTGTATATATCTCAAAAAAAAAAAAAAAAAAAAAAAAAAAAAAAAAAAAAAAAAAAAAAAAAAAAAAAAAAAAAAAAAAAAAAAAAAAAACCTATATGAAATAAGTTATAAGGCTGCTCACAAACTCTCATTTAACGACTGACTACACGAGCGACAAATGTGAGACATATACAAAAGCCTCAAATCTGTCCTCGTCCCAGATTTGTGGGACGAGGCCAGAACTTCTAGCCAACCTCCCCTCCCCCTTGCAGTGGGGGAGACGGGGGTAGGAGACACCAGTGGAGGAGAGGGGGGTAGGAGACACCAGTGGAGGAGAGGGGGGCTAGGAGACACCAGTGGGGGAGAGAGGGCTAGGAGACACCAGTGGGGGAGAGAGGGCTAGGAGACACCAGTGGGGGAGAGAGGGCTAGGAGACACCAGTCTAGGAGAGGGGGGTAGGAGACACCAGTGGAGGAGAGGGGCTAGGAGACAAGAGGGAGGCGGTGGCAAGTGCGTCTCTAAAATAGCTGACATTCAGGATTTATGGAAATATCAAGAAAACAAGTCATAAAACTTTTGCGAGTTAATTTTCAATAAAATCAAGGAACCTATATTATAGGCTACACTCTTTGGGCACAATAAAAGTAAAGTAAAATCCCCAAAATTCATATAAAATTCTCAATATATTATAAACTTTAGAATATTGAAATACTAAAAATAAAGAATGACAGACGCAACACTAAGGAGAAATATGTTAATATAAACATATATATACACACATAAAGTTGACAAGAATCCTGGCAAACTTTATTCAAATATCCAGAGAGCCAATCAGGAATGAGCTATCAGACTCCGCCTTCAGCGCTGGTATACCAGCCAATCGCAGCAAAAGATCCTAATTAATGATCAACTATGTATAATTTTGTCCTCTTTTGGGGGAATAAATATGTAGTGAGTGAGTGTGTGTGTACTCACCTATTTGTACTCACCTATTTGTGCTTGCAGGATCGAGCATTGACTCTTGGATCCCGCCTTTCCAGCTATCGGTTGTTTACAGCAATGACTCCTGTCCCATTTCCCTATCATACCTAATTTTAAAAGTATGAATAGTATTTGCTTCCACAACCTGTTCTCCACAGTGCATTCCATTTTTCCACTCCTCTCACGTTAAAAGAAAACTTCCTCTCAACCATCTCTGTGACTCATCTGAGTTTCCAGTTTCCATCCATGTCCCCTCGTTCTGTTATTATTACGTGTGAACATTTCATCTATTTCCACTTTGTCAATTTCCCTGAGTATTTTATATGTCCCTATCATATATCCTCTCTCCCTGTGTGTGTGTGTGTGTGTGTGTGTGTGTGTGTGGTGTGTGTGTGGTGTGTGTGTGTGTGTGTGTGTGTGTGTGTGTGTGTGTGTGTGTACTTACCTAGTTGTGCTGGCGGGGATTGAGCTCTGGCTCTTTGGTCCCGGCTCTCAACCGTCAATCAACAGTGTGTGTGTGTGTGTGTGTGTGTGTGTGTGTGTGTGTGTGTGTGTGTGTGTGTGTGTGTGTGTGTACTCACGTATTTGTGCTTGCGGGGGTTGAGCTTTGGCTCTTTGGTCCCGCCTCTCAACTGTCAATCAACTGGTGTACAGATTCCTGAGCCTACTGGGCTCTATCATATCTACATTTGAAACTGTGTATGGAGTCACCCTCCACCACATCACTGTGTGTGTGTTATAGCGTGTACTCACCTAGTAGTGCTTGCGATGGTTGACTTACCATGATCTACCACCCCTACCCTAGTATACCACCATTACCCTATACTACCACCCCCTACCCCAAGCTATTATAACCACCCCAGAAGGCAGTGCTGGGCGTGTGTGTATTCATTGTATGTAAATAGCTTCCATGTATTGTTGGTAAACACACTGTTGATGAAATATTACTGAGTGGCATGGCTAAGTATCCCGACGGTATAAAAACTAATAACTATTAATCGCTCGATAAAGAATATGGTCACTATATTAACAGCCGACGTGGCTCTCTCCCCCAGTACCACCAGAGTAGAAACAGTGTACACGTCCCCGGTAGAGAGAGCACGTCCCTGGTAGCAGTGTACACGTCCCTGGTAGAGAGAGCACGTCCCTAGTAGAGAGAGCACGTCCGGGTAGCATTGAGCACGTCCCTAGTAGCAGTGCACACGTCCCTGGTAGAGTGAGGACGATAGATATCACAAGCTCGACCAGTGATTACGAAATAGAGGAGGTTCCTGACGGGACCCGAGACACGATCATAGAGTCGGAAGACCTCCACACCCCCAGAGGCTCCAGGACCACGAGGCCTCGACCACCTCCCTCAAGACCCACACGAGATTAATGAGTCTAAGACCCAACGTGTACTTAAAAAAACAGGAAAAGAATGAAGGGAAAAAGTATTGCTAAGTAAGGAAGCAAATACTTAAAGCGTGAGACGGACAGCGGGACCCTACCAACATCGTCCCGTCAGGAGAGAGCCGTCAACGACCATCTGGACGGGGGCTCTGCACCGTACCTGCACCTTTCACCCATTTTTTTTTTTTAACCCCAGATTAAGATTAAATTTTTTTGCATTTCGCGGTTCCTCCCCCCACACACCTTCCCAATCTTTCCTTCCCCCCTCCTCTTCCCCTCCCTTCCCCCTCCCATTCTCCTCCAACCCCTACCCACTTCCCCTACCCACTCCCCCTACCCACTCCCACTACCCACTCCCCTTACCACGAAACCAATCCAACTTGGCAGGCTTAATCAGGTGGCTTATCAAGACGGCTAAAGACTCACATTAACCTGCGAGACAGGTGACAGGAGAATGAGACAGGTGACAGGAGAATGTAATCCAGTCCAACATTTACCTCTATGACAGGTGAGCGGAGTAAGGCGTCCCAACATCGAACGAACCAAATGGAACAAAATTATAATGTGATAAACCTCGCAAAAATAAGTTCAATCGAACAACAAATGTTCTCATTAAAGCCCACCATCTAAGGAAAATAAAGTACTGCAGATATTTGAAAAAAAAAAAAACACATGTACTCGACTGTGAGCAAAAACTTGAAGCACGACTGCTTGAGCAGCAGGGTACATTGTGGCGTATGTGCCTATAGGCACTATCTGTGGCACATATATATATATACTTTTATACACAGCCTCATGTATTTACAAAAACAAAGATTCGTGTATATTTAATACACCCAGACACAGCCTCATGCATGCATAATACACCCAGACACAGCCTCATGCATGCATAATACACCCAGACACAACTTCTTGCATACACAATATACCCAAACACAGCCTCACGCATACACAATACATATAAACACAGCTGCATGCATACACAATACATCCAGACACCGTCTAATACATTCACACTATATCCAGACACAGCCTCATGAATACACAATACACCCAGACACATGCATACACAATACACCCCAGACACAACCTCATGCATACAAATAAATTCATGCATACAAATTATATAAATACACTTGGACGTGTCCAGCGTAGGATGACAAAAGTTAATTCCCCAAATTAGAAACCTTTCATATGAAGAAAGATTAACAAAGTTTAAATTCCATTCACTGGAAAGGCCAAGTGTTAGGGGTAACATGATAGAGGTCTACAAGTGGATGAATGGACATAACAAATGAGATATTAATAGGGTATTAAGAGTATCAACACAAGACGGAACACGAAACAATGGGTTTAAATTGGATAAGTTTAGATTAGGAAAGACCAGTATTCTGTAAATACTGGTTCCGTAACAGGGTTGTTGATTTGTGGAACCAATTACCGCGTAACGTGATAGAGGTGGGGTCCCTCGATTGTTTCATGTGTGCGTTGGACATGTATATATATGAGTGGGATTGGGTGGTAATACATAGGAGCTGCCTCGTATGGGCCAATAGGTTTTCTGCAGTTACCTTTGTTCTTATGTTCTTATACACAATGCATTCAGATACAGCTTTATGCATACACAATACTCAAAATAGAATTACTGCCACTACTCAACGCAAGGCTTAAAACGTCCCCACACATTTTGTTCTTCCATGTCTTAGCACCTTACATCAACAAGCGAAGAATGTGTCAACAAAGCTTGGGACTATTTTCTGCTCCTAAAAATCCAAACCACTCGAGAGTTCAATCTTGTGTTCTCTCAGTAAACAGAGCGAGTAAATAAGATGAGGTTTGAGCGGCTTCCCTACCGACAGTCAGGGGCGGGTATTCGAGGGCTTCAACATGTAGATGATGAGCGACCATATTTGGCCCGGAGATCCAGACTGCTACAAGCCACTCCCTCCAGTGGCTTGTAGCAGATTCCTACAATCTGCTTGTAGCAGATTGTCCCTGGGATTCCCTGAGACATCCCTGGGACTCCCTAGAACCCCTGGGACTCCCTGGGACACACTGGGACTCCCTGGGACACACTGGGACTCCCTGGGACACACTGGGACTCCCTGGGACACATTGGGACTCCCTGGGACACACTGGAACTCCCTGGGACACACTGGGACTCCCTGGGACACACTGGGACTCCCTGGGACACACTGGGACTCCCTGGGACACACTGGGACACCCTGGGACACACTGGGTCTCTCTGGGACACACTGGGACTCCCTGGGACACACTGGGACTCCCCGGGACACACTGGGACTTCCTGGTACACACTGGGACTCCCTGGGACACACTGGGACTCCCTGGGACACACTGTGACTCCCTGGGACACACTGGGACACACTGGGTACAACTTGTCTGCAGGAGTAAAAAAATGTAGTAGCTTGAACGAGGAGGCGAAGGGTGGATGAAGGTCTAGATGAGGAAGATGGTTGATGTGGGGTCTTTCTCCTTAAAGAAGCCAGAAGAGGGTAGTCTGAGGAAGGTCGAGCCAGAGGAGGGTAGTCTGAGGAAGGTCGAGCAGAGGAAGATAGTCTGAGGAAGGTCGAGCCAGAGGAAGGTGGTCTGAGGAAGGTCGAGCAGAGGAAGGTGGTCTGGGTGAAGGAGGCAGGTAAGATAGTGACCACCTTGAGCCTTACCATATAGAGCCGGGCTCCAGAGTCTACCACTACTCATGCCCCCGAGCGGGTCTTACTTCATAAGAGAGAGAGGAAGATCTCTTTAAAACACACTTTGTAAAACAGGTTATACATGATTTGTAAAGCCAATGTATAATATGATTTGTAAAACCAATGATTTTATTGGAATTATATGATTTGTAAAAACCAATATATAATTGTATTTGTTACCTACGTGTGACAATATAAACTTGTTGCAAAAGTCCTCCGACAGTAAACTTGAGGATGGCGATCAACCACCTGGACTATCGGGAATCGAACGTCGACCTAGCAAGAATCGTGGCCTTCACTCCACCCACCAGGAATGTGTTAAGTGGAGTGCGGTGAAGTATAAATTATGACGAGGTGATTTTAGTACGAGGTGCAGTGCTGAGGCTGACCCCAAGAGGCTACATATACTTGTGTGGGCGTCTAAGCATGTGTAGCGCCGAGACATCATCTGATGTCTTGCCCTGAGGCATCACTTGTGACGGGTGAATTATACCTGGGCTCTTGTGTTAATGTGGACCCTGATTACACCCCCCCCCCCCCGGTGACTGTTCATTGGTATATGGGTACCCCTTGTGATTGTTGACTGGATCCTGTGTACCTCTGTGACTATTGACTGGACCTTGGGTACCTCTGTGACTATTGACTGGACCTTGGGTACTTGGGTATTCCATTGACTGTTGACTGGGCTCTAGGTACCCCTGTGACACTGGAACTTCCTGTGACTGTTGATATGTGCCCTTGGACACCTCAATGATTGCTGATTTCCACCTGTACACCTTTAAGATCTGCTTTTGGGCATCCCTCTTCCTCGTGATGTGTCCCCAGGGCATTCATATGTGTCTTATGTGTCCCAGGACAGCCTCTGTTTCTTATATGTCCCAGGACAGCCTCTGTTTCTTATGTGTCCCAGGACAGCCTCTGTTTCTTACGTGTGCCAGGGTTCCACCTCGGAGTGGCCTGTGGCCCGTGTGGCCAGGTGGTGACTCATGGCCCGTCATTACTGGTGACTGACAGTGACCGCTCTGCCTGAGATGAACGTCTTCGCTCGTCTCCGGTCAACGTATAACTTTGTTTATGCAATAATACTCGAGGTTTAAATTAAAGATTACTAATATTTCCCTTTAATATTACATCAATTCTGATTGGACAAAGTGTTAATGGCGAATGTGTCTTGAGAATGATCAGGACTGCTATGAGGAGATACTCATTTAGATACGAGTATCAAGAGAGGAATGAATCCTCGGACTCTATATATGGGCTGGACCGTTAGGGGAGTGAGGCGGCGTCCATAACTCTGGTGTCAGCTCAACACAAGCCTTCCGGCAGGCTAACTCGCTCTGTCTATACCTGCCCCAATAACCACAGTGCTAAGAGAAAATCTTTGGAGCTGGGTGGTGGAATCGAACTCGCGTCCTTGTGGTCACCCCACACGCTCACGCATTACTCACCGGACCTCACTGTGCAACACAACCTGGATTTGATGCGTTACCTGCACAAGGTGTGGTGTGGGTGATGTAGTTCACGCTCACCACACGCACACAGTGACATCAGCTATATAATGTGGTAAGGTGTTGTGTTCTTGTGGTACGCCACCACACACTTCTTGAAGACTACGCTAAGCCTTTCCACTAAGGTCACCCCGGACACCGTCTTTAAGACCACACACACATACATACATACATAGTTGGACTCATGATTTTTTATGCAAGGTCGAGTGTCAGCTCTTATGGCCAGCCTTTTAACAATCAGTAGTTAACGCCATGATTATTCGATTCTTTTCTTGTATCAACATTTAAAACTGTGTAAACCTCGACAACTTCCTCATCTAATTCATTCATTTAGTTGCAACAATTTCCCTGAAGGTGTTGCATGACTCAACTGTCACTCCCATGTGTCTCCAGGTGCCACTCACGTCTCCTCCTTCTTCTGCCGTTTCTCACCTCTATTTGGTGAGTTCTTCTGGCATTACTTGATGTCGTGGCTCCCTCGTCCATACTTTCTTCAAGAAAGTCAGGTCCAGTTTGATCAGCGTTTCGCGAGAGCTCAGTCCCATTATCTCAAGAGCGAACCTTTATTGCAGCTCTTTGGACCTTTTCTCTTTGGTTTAATGCTTTTTCAGGGGAGGGTTTAATGTTGATGTCGTATACTCGAGAGTCGGGGAACTGGCATACTGCTGCGCGGGGCGCGACCTCGGCAATATAGGCCTATTGCTCCGTGGAGAATGGCCTCCGCGGATTATAGGCCTACTACCCAGTGTACTACACCGAGGAATTTTAAACAAAGGTAATGATAATTTTATATGGACATAATATACTGCGAAGTTCTCTGTAGGTGAACCTTTTACCATTACTTCACATCAAGATCTTCAGCTCATTATACGTTTAATTCCAAATGCTTCATTTTATGCACTACTGTATAAGTATCCTGTATCAACTAAATCAACTGAAAAACAAATGTAAGAGACAATGAACTCTGGCAGCCTGATAAACACTCAAGAGCATCTCTTAAATAATATGAGTCGTTGACTACTGGTCCAATCTCTGTGCTGATGCGGCCTTTAATCTCAGTTCGCTAATATCTAGCGAGCTCGTACACATCCTATAGGCACACATTTACACTTCCTGGGTTTCTCTTTAAGAGTTTTCTTTATAGTCATAATGGCTTGGCGCTTTCTCCTGATAGTACTCTTGAATAGAGCCTGCTACAGAAACCGATAAACCGGTTTTTCCGTTCTCTAGGGACTGGAGACAACGGACGATTTATAGCGTTTTCTAAGAACCTGTTAGAAGGATCGCAATGATATATCATTATCGAGGAAGATTGTGCGTTACGTAGCAGATAGTGAGGCTGGCGTACTTGTGTGGCCGGTGTAGCATACCAGAGGCAATATATCCCCGTCAAAGAGCAACACAAGTTGCAATATCATCTGAAAACCTGACGGTAACAACTCAAAATGTCATCTCACTCAATTCTGTAACATTGACCAGCCACAAATTTATTGTTGGAACACTCTGGAACGAGAAGTTCATAGAGGTGCGGAAACTGATTAGTAGGTTTAAGGATAATGCCTGAAAATCTGTCAAAGTGAAATGCGACCTTGACCACAAACTTATCTCGCCAAAAGTCGGCAACTTGAACAAATAATCCACAACAAAAAATGATAAAAACCTTTCAATGTTTACAATGAGGAGTGTCAGTGCACTTCACAAACATTAGAATCATTGCCGCAAATAATCACATAATATCTGAATTCAATAGGACGTTCATATATTTTTCCAAGTTGTAATATATTACATTTTTAGAATGCCAGAAACATTTGTAACTTTAAATGCTAAAACACAGATAAATGCCTTTTACAGCCTGTACACGCAACCTGTCCTCCTAATACAACGTCGCATTTTGACGTATACTCTACCTAAGATAAAAAAATTGTCGTACTAGAAAATGGTGGCGACTCGCGAAATTAACATACTGACCCGTTTTCTTTTTTTGGGTCTTCTGGTAGGTTAGGATGAAAGCACTTTAGCACGACAGTTTCTTGACGTTGGGAAGCCTTAGGAGGACGGGCTGGTACACCTACGCGCATGCGCACCGTAAACATAACAGTATTAATGCATCAAATCGTAAAGTGAAGTGAGCGAATCTACCAACGGAGGTGAACAAAGGAGACTCGGGAGAGCAGATGGGTGTAATGTGGTGTTTAGGGAGGTGTGGCGGACTGTAAACATGCACCATGAAGTCTTTTACCGCATTCTGGGTCACGCTGAAGAGCAAATATGCTGGGACACAGCTGGAGTGATGATCCACACACACGCCGTAAACTTCACGACGAGCACAGGAGGTTGTGCTGTCGGGCGTGGTACAGGTCGAGCCGTGGTACAGGTCGAGCCGTGGTACAGGTCGAGCCGTGGTACAGGTCGAGCCGTGGTAAAGGTCGAGCCGTGGTACAGGTCGAGCCGTGGTACAAGTCGAGCCGTGGTACAGGTCGAGCCGTGGTACAGGTCGAGCCGTGGAACAGGTCGAGCCGTGGTACAGGTCGAGCCGTGGTACAGGTCGAGCCGTGGTACAGGTCGAGCCGTGGTACAGGTCGAGCCGTGGTACAGGTCGAGCCGTGGTACAGGTCGAGCCGTGGTACAGGTCGAGCCGTAGTAGAGGTCGAGCCGTGGTATAGCTGAGCCAGGAGTCACAGACCACTTACAAGTTCACCCACGACATCTGTACCTCTTACCTTGATCATGGTGGCTTCATCTGTAGCTACCAAACGACCTCGTAGTAAAACAATCAGTAGCGGTCTTGACGGTGAAGTTTGTTCACACTTGCCAGCGTCTGACCTTGAAGTTGGCGAGTCTTCTGCCACCCAACAATGAGCACCATGGTTATAAATATACTCTCAACGATGGAAATGTCGTCCCTAGTAAGTCACATTGCTCCCAAGACTCCAAAAATGACCTTTTTTGGTCAATCCAAGATGACTTGCCCGGGTCTCTGGTGGTGAAGTACATCAATCACAAGAACTCTCTCTATGACTCTTGGACAATCTTGCATAAATTCTTCTTACCGCCGACATATACTGTGTGAGTGGGTCCTTTTACGCAGTAGGCTGTCCCAAACGAGGTGGTCGCTGCTCAACTATGGTTCAGTCCGGTTCATGGGCCGCTAAACAAGCGAAGACTGTGAATGAGCATAAGAGCACCAGAGGTCGAGGATCCTCACCTCTGGTCCAATCACAGGCTGGCTCGTTGATCCAGGTCACCTCCCATTGGTTTCACAGTCACATGACCTTCAAGAGTCGCCGACGGAGATGAAGCCAGATCACTGTCGAGTTCTATGGGGTTTGTGCAAATTATTAATAATAAAATTGGATTCAACCCAATACACGCCTCACTACTTACATTTATATATTCTAGAGCAAATCTTCCCTGGCAGTCCTTCATGGTGGCTGTGGGTGAGTATAACTCTAAACAGTTTGTGTTATCATAACCGGTGAGGTCCCATGTGTCTTGTACCATTAGTGAGGATACCGTCACCTGTATGTGTCATATAAGCTGGTGCGGAGCCTGTCCCTTGTTGGTGATTGCTGCCAGGATCAGTCATGGCAGCAGCTACAAGGATCAGGCAGGACAACAGCTACAAGGATCAGACAGGACAACAGCTACAAGG